TTCCTTGGAACATTAGACCAAACCTTACAGTCCATGTTAGCCACACACACCAAACACACAACAATATGTAAGTATAAAGGAGCCGTTAGAGTTAGGGGGTTAGGAGAGGGTTTGAAGACCCAAACATAGGGGGGGTGCACCCCCTTAAGCGCGCTTTTCACCGCATAGCACCCATAGCGGCTCATCAGAGGGGTTAGCTTAGTATAGGCTCCTGTTAGGACGGGTAGGAGGAGAAGAGGGGTGAAGGGTATACAAGTGGGGTGGAGTCAGCGAGTCGAACCTGAGCCGTCATTGGCGATGTTGCGTGAAGGTCAGAAGTCGCCATAGCTTGCGTATGAGCCGTATAGCAGACCGTCAGCAGGTTAGGCGCTGTAGACAGCGTATTGAATCGCGTGTGATGATGCCCAGGAACTCGACACAACCCGCGAGTGGGTAGCTCATGCGCGGCCAGCAGTGGGGTTTCGTGTTGCGTGGTGCTTGGTGCTTGGGAATAAGCAAGCTACTATCCCAAGTGCATCATCAGAGGGATGCATGTATTTGGTGTATGCAAGTGAATGCGATGACGTGTGATGTAGCAACAATTATTACATGTGTGCATGATTGCAGTATGTATCGCATGTCGAAGCGTATTCGAGGATTTGTAAGGGTAGGCTGGTATTATGTAGGGTTGCAATGTTTATTTGGGGGTTAGGCGTCATAGATGTATGAAGGCGAGAGGGAGTGTTGGTGGGAAGGGTGTAACTATGGAAGGGATTGTTATGATCAATACTTTAAGGGGTGATGATTTGATTTATTGGCGGTGGTGAGGGGTATCAGGTGAGAATTGTGCGGGTGTGGCGAAGGGTGTGAGCGGTATCTATGTCATCGTGAGGTTTCATCATGTCGTATGCTAGATATGTCACGTAGTTAACGGGTATTAGCTGTTGTATGTCATAGGATCTTTTGGTTTTGTTTTTATTGTTTTAGCTCTTGTAGCATTTGGTGCAGTTTTTGTTGTAAATAAGCGTGGCTGTCTATGGAGGAACTGAGCGTCATTAATTTCAATTTTGTCATTAACATGTGAGTGTTGTCTTATACTATGTCCTATGTGTTATGGCCGGCAATCGGCTACCATACTGAAAGTAACGTGTTTTTTGGCTTATTTGTTTTAAATTTGTACGTGATTTTGAAATTAAGAGTAGGGTCGTATATACGTGTGTAGTATTAGCTATTGAAGGTTCGAATAATTTTAGGGCGTGTTGAGGTGAAAAAAATTACAATTAAGAAATATTAAATTTATTTTATTTGTTTTATTTTAATTTTCATTTTATAATGGTTTTTCAAGATTTATTAAAAAATAATATAATTATTATTTTATTTATTTTTTAACTATTATTTTATGGAGGAAATTTTCTTTATTTTTAATTATTAATATTTTTAATATTTTTATTTTTTATTTTTGATTATTTTTTAATTATTATTTTTTAATTTTTTATTTCAATAATTATTTTTTATTTTTATATATTACATATATTATTATTTTATCTATTTAATTATTATTATTATTATTATTATTATTATTATTATTATTATT